GGGAATTGTGTGTTTTTCAGAAGCATATGAAAGACTGTGCCGCTACATTGCTCGAAGAAGTGATTCTGTAGTGGTGAATGTTGGGTAAGTGGTCTCCTTCCAGAGGTATTCAGAAAGAACGTCTAGGTTCCTCTTGCTCATTTTTCTAGCTGTCCAGGGTATCTGAGAAGCTCTCTCCTCCACCACTATGTTTCAATTCAATAGCTTTCATGTCTCGCTGTTCAGCATCCACTTTCATACTGGAAATACCCAACACATTGATGATCTTGGCCTCGTTCTCCAGTATCACATCCTTACACTGGATGGATGGTCTCCTCTCGTTTCTTCTTAGCTGGTTTCCCAAATCTTAGTCTTGTGACTTCTTGGCTACAGTCTCCATTCGGATCGATCATGGAACAGATCTATACAAAATCTATACAACCATTTCAATCTCTTGCTTGTCAAAGTTAAATTTCTTGAGTTTTTTTGGAGTTATGATTTTTGCTTTCTTCACTTTCAACTATACTCCTGCTTTTGTACTTTCTTTTCTTCACTTGCATCTGAAATAGTTTCAAGTCATTGCTTCTTTCTGCCGGTAAGATGGCATCATCCTCGTATCTTAAACTGATGATGTTTCTTCCACCCATTTTCCGTCCACCTTTGGATTTAATCCAGTACTGATACATTCTGGGTACAGATTGAACAGATGAGGAGTTAAGATGCACGCTTGTCTGATGCCATTGCTATTCTGTTTCTCTGTACTATGTCCTAAGAATTAATTTTTGTATATATTTCAAGTTACTCATCATGACAATCAAGTGCTGAGGCACACCCACTTCTTTCAGAACAATTCATATTTTTCATGATACACACAGTCAGAAGCTTTGCTGAATCTTTAAAGCATAGACTTACCTTGTGAAATTCTTTGGTGTGCTCCAGTATATATTTGCAATGTGATCGTGAGTGTCTCTTCCTTTTGAAGAATCCAACTTGATTATCAAGCATTTCTTGTTCCATAGGTACAAATTATTGCACTCTTTGGCATCCTTTTTCTTGAGGACTGGAATGCATATTTTTGATCAGTTCTATACTTGCTGGTCTTGTTTTAGCAGAGAGAATGCAGCTTCTCCATTTAATTATTTTGATTTCTATCTTGTCTACTTAACTGGGGTGGGAATTTGAGTCCCCCCCCCTTTTCACTATAGTTCCTTGTCCCCAAGTGTCAACTCTCTAGTATGACATTTCATTGTAAAAAAAATCCATCCAAATAAAAAGTAGTAAGAGGAAGTGAACGATTCCTAACAAATTTAAACATTTATTTTTTTTTCTCAAAACTGATCTGCTTATCTTTTTGGAATTTTGTTGTCTTCCTACCCAAGACTCGTCATGACAATGGAATCTAGAAGGGACCTATTTCTTGTTGTGCAAATAAATTTACCGTGTTTAGGCAACAGGGCAGTTTCTGTATGTGTGCATAAATGTCTGACTAGACACAGAGCGAGTTTTTCTTGTTTTCTTCGTTAGATTGCACATTTGCAAAATGCACAGAGGATTAGTGTATTTATGCTGAGAAGCCAGGAGAAAGAAAGAACAGCCTGTCTGTCTCTATGCATATGAAGATGTGTTTGGAAAGGAGACTACATATTAAAAAGCTGTAGCAATCGGCAATGTGAGGTTGCAAATGTAAAAATAAAATACCGTAATTTTCCATGTATAAGACGCCCCCATGTATAAGATGCCCTCACTTTTCGAATCCAAAATTAAGAAATTTAAGTGGGGCTTAGCAAGTGTAGGGGGGAAAGGGATCAAAGCGCTGCAGGATCGCTTTGATCCCTGCTTTCCTCTCCACTTGCTTTTGTTCTCTCCTCAGCCTACTTCCGTGTATAATACGACCCTCAAATTTTAGTCTAAAGATTTTAGACAAAAGTATAGTCTTATACACGGAAAGATACGGTAAAATGAAGATTGTTCTTTTGTCTGAGCCTCGTGGAGCAGAGGTTAAACTGCAGTACTGCAGCCAAAACTCTACTCACGACCCAGGTTCAATCCTAGAGAGCCGGCTCGAGGTTCACTCAGCCTTCCGAGGTTGGTAAATTGAGTACCCAGTTTGCTGGTGGGGGACAATGGGTAGCCTGCATCATTAAATTGTAAACCACCCAGAGACTTCTTTAAATGCTATGGGGCGGTATATAAGCGGTGCACTTTGCTTTTTCACTTTTGCTTTGTCATGGGACGCAGGATGATGAATTCACACATGGCTCATTTCTGTTTCAGTTTCCGTTTAGCTCCAGAGCATCCTTACCCGGTTCCCGTACTAGACTGTTGCACCGCCACAATACACTTTCTGAAGCATGCTAAAGAGTACGGTGTGGACCCCCACCGCATTGCGATTGGCGGTGACAGCAGCGGAGGCACGTTTGCGACTGCCGTTTGTCAGCATCTGGTGACCAGGAAGGATCTCCCGAAGCTGCGAGCTCAGATCCTCCTGTACCCCTTTCTTCAGGGAGTAGACTTCAGCTTGCCTTCCTATCAGCAAAATCATTCGGTTCCTGTCTTGTTTCAGAAACGGCTCCTCAAACATGGCTCGGTGTACCTCACAGGGACCTATTTATGCACCGAGGACATTTTGAAGAGTGCCCATGTTTCTGAGGAGATGAGGGCGAAGTACAGCGAGTGGATTAGTGCCAAGAACATTCCGGAAGAATTTAAGGCCAGAGGCTACACGCCCGTGGGTCCTGCTCCATTTTCCAAAGAGTCGTACGAAAAGGCCAAGGGTATCTTCGAACCAATGTTTTCCCCTCTTTTAGCAGAAGATGGAGTGGTTCACCAGCTGCCTGAAACATTCATATTAACCTGCGAATATGACGTTGTCAGGGACGATGGTTTGTTGTACAAGAAGCGGCTGGAGGATCATGGGGTTCCGGTGACGTGGTGCCACGTTCAGGATGGATTCCACGGAATACTTTGCCTCATCGATTATGGACCACTTGAATTTCCAAACACGCGGAGCAGTATGAAACGTATCGTGCATTTCTTGAAAGGTTTATAGGGAGAGGAGGGAAATGATTTTTCTGTGGACAACTGGTCTCCCAAACCCGGGGAAAAAGATTTCCCTGATATTCACGAGGTCTCTGAACATTTAAAGAAGCGCCTCGAAACTCCCATGAAGTTTCATCGGTGTACACATCAGGCGATCAAAAGTTTGTGCACTTTCATTTGGAAGAAATGCTAAAAGTTTAAATACCGGGAAGAGAAGGCTGTAGGGAGCCGTCAGTTAGATCTGCAATACGTATTGGGCAAAATAATCCTGCAGACTTTTACACCACCTTAAGTTGGAGACTGTCATCATCTGGTGTTGGTATTATTTAATTTGAATTCATTGAAAGCTTCTTGTCACCTCCTTTCAGGCTTTGAGGCTCCTTAGGGATCCTTTTTGCCCTGGGGAAAGTAACAAGTAGCTCTGCCTGAGGCAAATTTCTTTAGGTTGATAATTTGATCAGGGAGAGCAGAATAGAAATCCAACTGAATATTTTCTTGGTAAATGCCTCTGAGGCGATCACTGACTTATGAATCAATTAGTTCCATCAGAAAAAAGGTTACCTGCATCTTCTGGCGCTACTCCAAATGAAACATTCTTATTTCAATTCATTGAATTCATTCTGGAATCCGCCTGCTTTGATGTGTTCTTTCAACACTGAATCTCCATATTCTACATCTGTCTCTGAGATAATTTTTTTTAATTCTAACAATGAGCACAACACCATTTTTTTTTGCTTCCCACCATATTTCTTTCTCCATCAGCTGTGATATTTTTCAGTTTATCCCAGTTCAGAGGCAGATTTTCTATTAATTCCTGCACCTTCAGGACTATGTTTTCTGAAGTCACAGTGCCTTTCAAATATGAATATTTAAGGAGCGTCTATAAGGTCGTTGCTCCTTTAATGCCAAAGTTAAAAAACAACAACATTTTGCCTTAATGGTCAGTGACATATGTAGTTTTTCTCATTCTTCAACACACTTGCTTTGCCTTAATGGTCAGTGACATATGTAGTTCTGCTTATTCTTCAACACACTTGCTGACGGTAGGTAAAGGTAAAGTTTCCCCTTGACATTTAGTCCAGTCGTGTCCGACTTTAGGGCGTGGTGCTCATCCCCATCTCCAAGCCATAGAGCCAGCATTTGTCTGAAGACCGTTTCCATGGTCACGTGGCCAGCGCGACTAGACGCAGAACGCCGTGACCTTCCCACCGAGGTGGTACCTATTTATCGACTTGCATTTTCATGCTTTTGAACAGCTAGGTTGGCAGGAGCTGGGACAAGCGACGGGCGCTCTCTCCGTCACATGGATTCGATCTTAGGATGGCTGGTTTAACCCACAGCGCCACCACATCCCCATCTGCTGATGGTAGATGCAGATAAACTGAGACAGCTAACACAAGGCACCTTAGCAATGCACCTTTACCTTGAACCATTCAACAAATTCACCATCAATGAATGGCTTGCCATTCCCAGCAATACATTTAGCTGTCGAGAGGATTTAAAACAGGATAGCTGGCCTTCACATGTGACAAGCACTCCTCAATCTCCTTTCTAAAACTATTTTTCTGCAAAAAACATGACTTTTTAAAAGAGAATTTATTTTGTTTACCCTCTCCTTGATATACTGTGTAAAACTTGTGACAGCACTCAAAGTGCTTTTTTAACATTGTACCCCTTTAATACTGAGACTTTCAAGACCTATCAGGCCAGCTGCTTCATCCTTGTTTAAATGTTATTGACAAATATTTGGTAGTCCATTTGTCATTAAAGGCAAGGTGCTCCTCTGCAATTTTTTGTTTGCAGACATAGAACTTTTACAGAACTTTTAGCAGAGCAGCCATTGTAGAGTTTCAATATTATCCTTCAGCAAATAAAAATATGAGGGGTATTTATTCATTCCTGCATCCATCCATCCATCCATCCATCCATCCATCCATCCATCCATCCATCCATCCATCCATCCATCCATCCATCCATTCATTCATTCATTCATTCATTCATTCATGTCTGTTGGTATGTACCATCTAATTCATGCTGAAACATTATTCTGGGGCCATTTACAAAGGATTCAAACAAAGCTTCATGACAAAATGCTAAAAGATAACAGCATTTTTTTTTAAAAAAAAGGAAAACAGAATAGTGGCACCAACAAATTATCACAGAAAAGTGGAGCTGGAGGGGAAACGCCCAGCTGGGGTCACATTGAAAAGAAGTGTTTACAACTGTCTGCCAAAGGAATATAGGGAGGGGGTCCGGCACAGCTCTTCTGGGTTGTGTTTCCATAGTCTTGGTGCCACCACCGAAAAGGCCCTACCCCTGGTAGATGACCTTTGGGTCTCTTCTCAGGGTGGCCACCTGGAGAAGCCTGATCTGAGAGGACCTGATGGATCAGGCAGATGACACTGGAGAAAGTCACCCTGTACATATCTTTTTAGGGATCCAGTTCTTAGCTTTCCTATCAAATCCACCCCACTCCTGCTGCTGTTAGCTGGAGATTTTCATTTTGACTGCAACAGAGAAGAGCAGAGACCCCTGACTCTATAGTTCTCAGAAATATTGGGCCAGATGCACAGGCTTGGAAAGATTTTTTTTTAATGTACACACCGTCCTTGTTTAAGTTGCAGGTTTTGCAAAATGAAAAGAGGGTTGATGTATTTATCCTCATTTGCTGCCCTATTGCAAAAAAATAATAATAATTAAATTTAAAAAATTGGCATTCCGTTCAATAGTTGTGGATGCTATCATTATATCTGAGCATTTGGCTAGCACCCTTCTGGATGGCATGGGTGACTTCACCCACACCATCCAACAGGTATGGTGCAACGGTACCTGTTCCAGGTTAAAAAAATATATCAATACTGCAAAAAATAGCCCAGAATGGGGAACAAAATTTGCAAGCAATGTGTGGCTAAATGAGAGGAATGCCGCTAGCCTCAAATCGCCTGCAGGAATAGCATTCCGGTATTCCTTCTGGGCAGAAAATCAACATTACAAAGAACAGCCCAGAACGGCAACTTCGGAGTTGGGCAGCCCAAAGGAATTGATCTCTCCAGACCAACTAGAGGGGATGCAAGCGGCCCGAAAACATCCCAAGGAACAACGGTCCACCACCCGTTTCAGGCTGAAGAGTCAACATTGCAAAAACTCAGCCTGGAATAGTGACTTCCAAGTGAGATGGCCTAAAGATGTTCACCCACCCTATCTGACTAGGGAAAAAAAAAAACACCTGATACAACCAGGCACAAAACACCCCCAGGAAGAATGTTGCGGTTCCTGTTTCAGGCAGGAAAAATGGATGTTGAAGGGGGGAAAAAACAGCCTCAAGCGATGATTTGCAAGTAGGATGGGTCAATAAAATTCTCCCATCCCATATGCTGAGAGAGAACTGATGCAACAGGCTTCAAAAAGGCTCCAGGGAAAACATTCCAATGCCTGACCCGGGCAGGAACTTGATATTGCAGTCAACGGAGAACAACTTCTGAGCAGGATAACAAAATGAAAATTGACCATCGCAGAGGACAAATGAGAAAAAGGGTAAACAGCTTGAAGGCTCAGAACAGCAGCCTACACCCTGTCAGTTTTCTCCAGAGTAAGCCAATGCCATCGGCCTGGCTGGCAGGAGGCTTACAGCCGCAATCATGTTTTCTATGTGTGGACTGTCGTTCTTCTGCAACGTCTGTGGTTTGATTTGTTACTCCCATCCGGTCATATCTGACTGCCGAATTGGCTATTGTCATCAGCTCTTAAGCTGCTGTTTATGGGTCTTTTCAATAACAACAACAATCATTGACACGCCTGTATTTCCGGTGACAGCGATTCCAGGGGAGGGCACAGTCAAAAAAAGAAAGAATTGGGGGAAAACTAGCAAAATACAGAAACCTGGCCATCAAAGCATCTCACTTTGGTGGTCCCCGTAGTCATTGGGGCTTTGGGAACAATATCAAGAAATTTCGCACAGTGTTACAAGCAGTTGCAGATCTCAGAAATCACACCATCAGAGCTATTTTTTTAAAAAACAACAATATTAGGAACAGCATGCATACTGAGCTGATATTTGACAGATCCTTAGGTTTTTCGTCAAAACTTGTATCTGTTATAGAATGCCAGTCAAAGTTTTTATAATTTTGATTGACCGTGCCTGGTGTTTTTGAATCCCCACCATCTTAGAACTCCAGAGCTGAAAGGGGCCCTATGGATCATCATGTCCGGCTCTTGTCAAGGAGGCCCAGTGGGGGGAATTGAACTCCCAACCTCTGCCTCCTTAGCCAGATACATAAGCCACTGAGATATCCAGCAGGTCATGTGAAACTTAGACCAAGGCTGTGTGGAGGGGAAATGCCTTGTATGGCACCGAGGATGGGTTGGATAGACATGCAATGTAGTAATCAGAGAAAATAAGCAAAAGTAGAAATTGCAACCAGTTTGTCCAGTGCGTCCTGCAACTATGCACTCTTGTATTTCCAGTGAGAGCAAGAGTGGAGGCAAGTGGTCTTTTCTGATCTAGCGGTAGAGCTTCTAATTTTGGGTGCCAGACTAGGGTGATTCTCCAACTGACAAGGGTTTTTTGTGTGTGTGTGTGTGTGTCTGGTTGCATCCGTCCATTCTAGTTGGATCGGATGGATGAATTTTGTTGAAGTGCCCGACGCAGACGTCACCTCTCTGGACTCTTATTAGTAAGGTTGATTTTTCTGCCCCCAGAACAGATCCTGGAATGTGGTTCGCAAGAATGTTTGGCGAGAAATTGCACCAGCCCCTTCTAGCCGGATGGGACAGGCACATTTCGGTGGGTTGTCCTACTCAGAAGTCACTGTTCCAAGCTGCTTTTCACAGTAGTGATCTCCTGGGGATGGGTGCAAGGAAGTTGTTCTTGGGGATGATTTGTGGCTTGCTGCATCTGTATCACCTGGTTTCATATATACAGTGTGCCTCGCTAGACAATGATAATCTGTTCCACTGAAATCACTGTTTAGTGAAATCATTGTCTAGCGAAATGCATTTCCCCATTGGAATGCATTGAAACCTGTTTAATTCATTCCAATGGGGAAGAATCGTCATTGTATAGCGAAGAGCGGCCATAGGAAAGCCGCTTTGCGAACCGCCGATCAGCTGTTTTAATCGCTGTCTTGCAAAGCTTAGGTCCCGAAAACACCCGTTTTGCAAGCATGGAGGTAGCTGCCAAAATCGTCGTCTAGCAAAAATTGGTTTGTGAAGCAGGGACCAAACATTGTCCAGCGAAATTCCTCCATAGGAATCACTGTTTTGCGAATCGCTATAGCGATCGCAAAAAGTCAATGTCTAGCGAAAAAACTGTCATGCGGGCTAATTGTCTAGTGAGGCACCACTGTATCACGAATTAGAGCTTGATTATCCTACTTGGAAGTGGCCGTTCTAGGTCACTGTGTTCCATTCTGATGAGTTTGGAGGCAACAAAGGGTTAATGAAAGAGTAATGGTTTTTAGGTAGGAGGTCTAAAAAATCATTCTGATGTTTGTACATTGCTATCCAATGATTTTGGCATTGATCTTTATTCAGAAATCCCTGCTCCACTCTGTTCCCTCCCATTCCGGCTTATACCTAGTCCTCAAAAAATGAATTACAGCCCAATTGAGGTGATACCTATTACAGAACTCAACAAAATGGATCAGCAGGATTGTGAATCATCCTGCGTGGGGTTGTTTCCTTGTCGAGCAGGAACGACTGCTGAATTTTGGCGAGCAAAGCTTCCTGCCTGGGGTGTTCTGATGGTCTGACTGATTGTATCCCTGCCATTTCAACAAAGGCTGTCTTGCAGATTAGAGAAATCTGTAAATCCCTTAATTATTAGAGTTAAAACGTACCTCCCACCAGCCTCTATGGTTCCCCTTCAACCTTTCATTCTCCAAACCGATTCCAAGCCATTTTATAACTCACACCTGAATATTCATAAGAACCTCAGAAGCTGGATCAGGCCAAGGGCCCTTCTAGTCCAGCTTCCTGTCTCTCACCGTGGCCCCACCAGATGCCTCTGGGAGCACACGAGACCACTAGAAACCTGTCTTCTGATCCCCCTCCCTTGCTTGTACATGCACAAGCACGTAATGTTAATGAAGTTTCTCCATTACACAAATGCTTTCTCTCCCCTTCTTTCTAAAGGAAACTAAGCTTGCTAGATAAGTGCTGACGCTTAAAATGGGGTCTTCAGCTTCTCACCAGATTTTGTTGGCTTTCCATTCCCAGTGTCCCTTGTCATTGTCTAATGCAAGACCAGTGGTTCCCAGCTTTGGGTCCCCAGATGTTCATGGACTCCACCTTCCAGAAATCTTGACTAGCACAGTTAGTGGTGAAGGCTTCTGGGAGTTTTAGTCCAAGAACATCTGGGTACCCAAGGTTGGAAACCATTGATGTAGACCAGTGGTGTCCAACCTTGGCCCTCCAGATGTTCATGGACTCCACCTTTGAGAAATCTTGACCATCACACTTAGTGGTGAAGGCTTCTGGGAGTTTTAGTCCAAGAACATCTGGGGACCCAAGGTTGGGAACCACTGATGTAGACCAACGGTGCCCAACCTTGAGATTTCCAGATGTTCATGGATTCTATCTTCTAGAAATCCTAACCAGCACACCTAGTGGCGAAGGCTTCTAGGAGCTGCTGTCCAAAAACACCTGGGTAACCCAAGGTTCGAAACCACCTGTTGAGAATATCTTGCCATTCTTCAAGTGGGTAAAGATGACACAACCAAAGAAAATTCACCAGATGATTGCAACAATAAAAACATTATTTCCTTTCCCCTCGTCCTCTTCCAAATAATACCACAATGGACTACCTCTTGCGTATATATAATTTAAAGAATTTTATTAGCAGAGCACATTCTATACTGAGAATAAAACTTCATTATATAGGATCACGAGGAGACCAATATGCATACTATGAATATTGCAATTTTGTTAGCTCTGTTTAAAAATTTTTGTTTAGTAGGTGTGAGTCTAGCTCTTTCTGAATGAGTAATGCCAAGTTACGAGAGAGGAACAGATTTATGCACAGATTCTTGCACAGCAGTGTTACAAGGACAAACCGGTGTGCATGAAATTGCTGAATAGCTAAGTCCAGAGCTGTGGGGGAGCAGCAGTGACTATAAGAAATCTATCTCTCTGTTGCGGCTTCCAGGAGCCGGTGCATGCAACCTTATTATAAAGCCATTATTAAGCCAGAGCAGGAGCCTGGTCATGATATTTGTGTAGCTGAGAAAAGAACATGTCCTACCAGGTAAAAAAAGGTGGCTGTCCAAACAAAACAAACCAAAAAATCCAATTTAAAAATTGGGCTTCAGATTAGTACCAAATTTGGCAGAGGTGTCGCAAAAACTCTCTCTTGTTCAGTGCCAAATTTGGGGATATATGGGCAAAGGTATGCAAATTTTGTCTTATCAATGTATTTCATCTGTTTTCAATCAGCTGGAGCTGATGGCCAGCACAGCTGACGATGAAGGATCCTGGGAACTGTAGTCCAAGAACACTTGGGTTACCCAAGGTTGGGAACCACTGCCCTAAATGTTTTGTCCCTGTAGACTAATATACTGCAACAGATCAGACGTCTATTGCCTCTGATAGTAGAAATTCACAAGCCTCTGATGTAATTAACTACATGTTCTGCACCTTTTACTGCACATGGAAACTTGGCAACCCAATTATTTATAAGAGCAACTGATCCATGGAATCCATCTTCTAGGTGGCACCAAGAGACTAGGACGCCATTGTCTTCCAGACGTTTTTTGTATAAGATGGCATCATCTCGCAGGATGTCATACTGAACTGTTAGAATGAAAGTCTCTGGAAGCTGTTGAAGAATGCTATTTTCCACTAAAAGTGGTGAGAGCAGTGGCCCACACAACTGGTCTATAAGATCTTTTATCTCACCGAAAGGATGTTTGGGATCAGGTAAAGCTTTGACCTCTCTGAATTTGAATTCATCGGGTATATTATCTGGGCTCAGCCATTTCTTGTATTTCATCCTCTTCTCCTTAGGAACATGGGCCCCTTGCAGGACTACCTCCTGTAAAGATATATTTTTTTGGAGGTACTGCAAGGCAAATTTCAGCCCTTGCTTCTTTGTCAGAATTGGGACCCGCGCGTTTTGCATATAAGAAGGCAAGCTGTGCTTTACAACCTGAAGAAATGGATAGATCAACATCTGAGCCCGGAGTCTGGGAATATCCTTTCTCTGTACCATCATCTGGCAAATGGTCGCTGCAAGGATGCCCCCAAAGCTATCTCCACAAATAATAATACGGCAAGGATCCACACCATAATCTTCTGCGTGTTTCATGAAATAGACAGTGACATCCAGACATTGTTCAAATTGCACTGGATAGGGCTGGTCAGGAACAAGGGAATACCTGTAAAATTTTCAAGGAAGAAAAGAAAGAGAACCTTCTCTTCTATCATTGTAAAGTGGAACAAGCCGATTCGGTCCCCTTTCATTGAGGAAAATTTGACTGATCAATGCCTTGGTGGTTTTCCCTCATTCTACGAAAGGTGGAAGATGCATCTAAAATGCTCCTCTTCTCACCAGAGTTTTTAGTTCATTGTGACTTAGTCTAAAGTGAGCGGAAATACTATATAGCATTTACATTTGTTGAGAGTTCTGGAAACTTGCTCAAATTCCCATAAAAATACACAGCAGAAGGCCAGCTCTCTAAGGTCAGAATTACGTAGCTACTGAAGTCCATCTTTTTCTGTTCTACTGATGTTCCAGCTTCTCCAAAGACTTGAGTCTTATTTCATAAAGTGCTAATCTTTGGAGAGGGTGGAACATCAGTGGAATAGAAAAAGAGGAACTCCACTAGCTGATTCTGACCTTAGAGATCTGGCCTTCTGCTGCACATTTTAATGGGAATTTAAGCAGGTTCCTAGGTACCTGGGAGTAACGTCCAATTTTCTTTCAAATGCCTCCAGTGTTGAAGTGCTCACACCTCCCTTATATTCCTACTGAGTAATTAATATACATATCTTCTGTTAATGTATGCCCAATTTGTAAGGCTACATATTTTCAGCTCGTGCTCTTAAATTGGGTACGCATGGAGAAGCTCCCTTTTAAAACTGGCTGTAAGGTTCACGGTGCACTTAAGTTGGTTAAAAAATCAGCTTGTTAAAATAAACTGTGCTGATGGCTGTTTGTTTTAATTTGCTTCCTAAGAAAATAATACCAGTCGGAAGAAAATAAATACACACTTTGGAATTCATTGTCTGAACCAGACTCAGCACAGTTTATAACACAGGTCAAATCCCAGGTTTTTTGACTGAGTTGGCTAAAATATAAACACAACATGTGAGCTTTTTGAGCAATGTAGACAGGCCCTTAGGCAAACAGGAAGAAGCTGTACTTCTGACATTATCAAGAAATAGAGTGTCACAACAAATGTTAAAACATTGCAAATGGCTACTTAAAGAAATCATTCACTTATAGCTCACCAAGTCACACTGGGATATTTATAAAACTATACAAAACAAGAAAACCAATATCTGGGTTTCACCAGATGGGATATCTGTACATTTTTCCTTCCCTTTCCCCTTTGTTCACCTTGTGCTGAAATACCACGACATTTACCATTTCCGGATACTCACCCAATGGACAAAACCACCGAATTGCTTTCTTTGGCAATATAGCGGCACAGTCTTTCGTAGGAATCTAGAAAAGACATTTGTTTATATTCAGTTTTGCTCTCACGCCTGGAAATCATGTTGTTGACTAATACATTAAACATACCAACACAAGCACACCCACACACCATATATCTCCGTAATGACTACAATAACCCCAGAAGATAGGCCATTACAATCCTAGCAGAAAAAGAAAGCGGGGGGTCCGTCTGCCCCCCTGAAGACCCATCATGGCTAGGTTTCCCAAATACCATTTATCAGCCATTTCATCAGTTTTTTGAACTGAGTTAAATATGTAGCAGAAACATCCAACCAACCAACTTCACCATGTTTAGAATCATAGAATAACAGAGTTGGAAGGGGCCTCTAAGGCCATCCAGTCCAACCCTCTGCTCAAGACAGGAATACAAATCAAAGGATGTTGGCCAGGTGAATATCTAAGTTTATCTTGAATGCCTCTGGTGTTAATTTCTTTTCTCCTTTTCTGTTGGAGCTCTTCTTATTACAGTTGATCCTAATTGGCTGCATTATACTAGGCCAGTTATGAACAATCTGATCATACCTGGCCCCAGTTTGAGCATTCCTCTTTTCTTTTGCCCTTCCCATCCTGTTTTTCCTTTAATGTCACATCTTTTTGGGTTGCTTGGGTAGGAAATATGGGCAAGGTGAGAATCGTCACTGTAACCCCCCTTCCTTTCCCTTCACGGCTGGTTTTGCTTCACGATGCCTCAGGACATTCTGAGGCAATGTAATTTTTGTCTGGGATGGCGAGATAGTAGAATGGTCATCATCGCTCTCCAGGGGTATGTAATGAAACAAAGACTTCATGAAAAAAACATGAAAGCAGTCAGCAATGCCACAGCGCTCCTCCTCATGGATCTTGTTGCAGATTTCCCCTAATCATCTCACAAAAAGAAAATCAGAAACATTTGTACCCAATTGAGTTCTGAAACCCCAAAGGGAGTAAATCTCTTACTCTAAATTTATCCCTTTCCAAACAGAACCATGTAGGAGTTGTGCTTTGAGTCTGAGGAAGTGGATTTCATCCACAAAACTTGCTCCTTCTTTAAATTTTTTTAGCACACCAAGAAAAGATATCATCTATTCTTGCATTTGTGGGAAGGAAGGAAGGAAGGAAGGAAGGAAAAGAGAAAGGAAGGGATGGAGGGAGGGAGGAAGGAAGGAAGGAAGGACCATTATTTTAGGTGCTGTTTTCTATGAAAGAAGTAGGTATAGTGGTGCCTCACTAGACAGTTACCCCGCATGACAGTTTTTTTGCTAGACATTGACTTTTTGCAATTGCTATAGTGATTCGAAAAACAGTGATTCCTATGGGGGAATTTCGCTGGACAATGTTTGGTCCCTGCTTCGCAAACCGATTTTCTCTAGACGATAATTTGCTTTTCGCTAGACCAGTGGTTCTTAACCTTTTTGAAAGAAACGCCCCCTTGAGCCTTTGAGGAAGTTATCATCACCCCCCTCCCTGAGGTGATGATATCTTACCTACCTACCTACCTACCTCCCTTGTCTCCCTCCCCACCCGGGTGCGAGGCAGCACTTCATGGGGAGAGGATGAGGAACCAAGAGACGCTTTCCTTCCACCCGATCCACACTCAATGCTTCCCTAAAGGAGAAAGGCGAGACGTGGCAGGTAGAAAGAGCTGGATCTGGCGGCAGCAGCAGCACCGGATCTACTGCCAACACTGCGGCTGCAGTTGCCTTCACAGGTTTGGCTTGCTCCAGCGCCCCCNNNNGAAGGAAGGAAGGAAGCAAGCAAGCAAGCAAGCAAGCAAGCAAGCAAGCAAGGAAGGAAGGAAGGAAGGAAGGAAGGAAGGAAGGAAGGAAGGAAGGAAAAGAAAAAGGGAGGGACAGAGGAAGGGAGGAAGGAAGGACCATTATTTTAGGTGCTGTTTTCTATGAAAGAAGTAGGTACAGTGGTGCCTCGCTAGACAGTTACCCCGCATGACAGTTTTTTCTGACTTTTTGCAATTGCTATAGCGATTCAAAAAACAGTGATTCCTATGGGGGAGTTTCGCTGGACAATGTTTGGTCCCTGCTTCGCAAACCGATTTTCGCTAGACGACGATTTGCTTTTCACTAGACAATTATATCGCTAGACAGCAATTTCAGTGGAACGGATTATCATCATCTAGCGAGACACCACTGTATAGTTTTAAAGGATGTTGCTTCATTCTCTTGTCCATTTTCATTACCGAGGCTTCCCAAAGTGCCAGCTCCACCATGCATGAAGACAATCCCCCTCTGTTGTGTCTGGGATGTTTTCGGCTGATAGATCCTCACCGGAATACCTTCAATGTCTTGATGACTGATAAATAGGCTTGGATCTTTGGAAGGAGGGAACACGTCCAAAAGTAATTTCACAATGGTGTACTCATTGTTGCAGATGCCTATTTTCCATAAAAAATAGTCCTATTTGAGAGATGAGGGAAGGAAAATTTAGTATATTAAATATACTATGTTTTTTACAAATACATTTGCAAATACATTTAAGAGCATGGGTTCCAGAAGCTTAAGCCTCCATTTTGTTAACATGTGAGAGTTACAATATCTATATTATAGCTGAATCATTGCATTGATACACTAGTTTAGCACTAGGAAGGAAGGAAGGAAGGAAGGAAGGAAGGAAGGAAGGAAGGAAGGAGCCAATGTGGACCCCCCAAGTGATCACTACAAGCGAATTGGAGTGTAAATTAGGCTGCAAATTGAGTGTATCAGAATTAAGATTAAATACTAAGCCCAAGGCCAGCTGGTGGATCAGCGGCAGAGGTATGGTAGCACTTCGGTTGAGAAGAATGTTCCTTTCTCTCCTGCTCCATGCTGCTGTGGCTTCCTTTAGAGCTCCGTTGCATATTGATTCTCCCTCTTTTCCTGCTCCCTTCCCCCTTTGTATTTTAGTATTGTCTTTTCCAGTGAATCTTGTCTTCTCATGATGTTGGGATCAATTCTTGTGTATCTCAGGCTACACTGACGTTTCTTCCCCTTCACCAAATCCTACTGACAAGTGCCATTATAACTAAATAGCATTATAATTTATGTTATAAATTATAACATTATAACTAAGTTGGGCATTATAACTAAATCGTGTGCACGCACCTAGTCCTGTAGACAAATTATCCTCATCTGAAAGAGGCTTTAAATGGTCTTTTTAAAAAGCCTGCATTTTAACGCACCTAGTCCTGTAGACAAATTATCCTCATCTGAAAGAGGCTTTAAATGGTCTTTTTAAAAAGCCTGCATTTTAAGCAGTTGCCCATTGAAGGAGTTCCACCTACAGTGGTGCCTCGCTTTATGATTGCCCTGTTTAACAACGAAACTGCATTACGATGAACTTTTTGCGATCGTTTTTGCGATCGCAAAACGATGTTCCCTATGGGGGAATTTCGCTTTGCGATGATCGGTTCCCTGCTTTGGGAACCGATTCTTCGCAAAATGATGATTTTCCGACAGCTGATCGGCAGTTTCAAAATGGCTTCCGGGTAAACAAAATGGCCCCCCGCTGTTTTCTGGGACGGATTCCTCGCTGCACAGGCAGCGAAAAT